GAGTGGGGACCAGAAACAGAGGGGGGGAAACCGGGGGGAAACCGGGAGACCTCGGTGGGGAAAGCGGTAGTAAAAGGAGATAGACTCGTCGAAGGTGACGTCACAGGAGTGAAGGAAGCAGTGAGACTGCGGGTGGTATAAGTGCCAGTCAGACGAGTCCATTGGGAAACTGAGGAAGACACAGGGGACAGTGCGGGCAGTGAGCTTGTCCGTGCTGGAGGCACGGACGTGAGGGAGGCAGCCCCAGACGTGGAACGTGGACTTGTCATCTGGGAACCCAGTCCAAAGAAGGGTCGGCGAAACCTGCGGCCGCTGAGAGCGCGGCCAGAGGTTAAACTGGTGAGCAGCGTAGCGAACGGCGAACGTCCACAGAAAATGGGGTGCACCGGCATGAATCGTGGAGGTACGCGCCACCTCCATGACCAAGCCGATGCGTCGCTCAGTGACCCCATTTTCCTGCGGGGAGTCTGGTAGGGAGTACGACTGGGTGATGCCCTCCGCACAACAGAATTGTCCAAGCCAACCAGAGGCGAACTCGCTGCCACGGTCGGAGTGGAGACACAACACAGGGAGATCGCGGTGAAGGCGGGCAGCCACGACCCACGGGATAAGAACGTCAGGCACGTCGACCTTCCACTCCAAGGGAAACATCGTGGTGTAGCGCGTGTAGTCGTCCACGAGCACGAGAAAGTAGCGCTCGCGACGCGGTCCGGGGACGGGGGCTGGGCCCCAGACGTCCAAGTGCAGGGTCTGAAGGGGTGCGGTGGCAGGACGTAGCAAGGAGGGCTGAGGAGCATGGTGCAGCCGGCCCTCGACGCAAGGCGTGCACGGCGGCGCACGCGAGGGAGAGAGGGCAGGAAGCGACGCAGGGAGACCTAGGACGAGATCGTGCTGGGACATGTGACGCAAACGCGGGAGTGCGGGGGGACCTAGGCCGTGGTGCCATAGAAGCGACGGGTGAGTGAGCGACTGATACGAGCACGCAGCGGCGACCTGGGTAGACGCAGAACCCGGGAGGGATGGTCCACCCGGGGGGGAAGCAGTGTCCTGCGTAAAGAGGCCAGACACCGGATCCCGGGGGGTTGCAAGGGGGGAACCTGAGGCAGCCTCGGTACAGACGGCGTACCGCTCGTGACCCGGGAACGTAGTGGTGACGCCGAGGTCCTGAAGACAGCCGACACCAACTGAGTTCCGGGAAAATGAGGGGATGTGGAGGCCTTTAAGGGAGCCCGAGGGGACCGCTGGACAGGGGAGGGTAGTGTAGTTGCGAGCAACAACAGGACCAGACGAGGTCAGCAAGTGCGACAGCTGCAGGCGCGGCAAGCGGCATGAGAGCAGCGTGGTCGCAGAAGAAGCAGGCAGACGCACCAGAGTCAAGTGTGAAGGATAGCAAAGTGGTAGCAGCAGACAAAGGAGGAGCGAGTGTGGAGCCTAGGCTAGACAAAGCAAACGGTCCTATGCCTGATGCAGCAGGGGAGTCTGTACCAGGGCTGAAAATAACAGGGTTATCACCCTGTCTTGACTTAAAATCCAATGTGTTTTTTTTATCGTAGCCCGTATTTCACATAGGCCTTTCCCCAGCCAGCCCGGAATTACACAGGGAGAAATTCCGTGGGACCCGTACATATCCGGGGGAATTACAGGGAAACTCTGACCTTTTCCCTTCTCCGAACCTCTCCCCCCCCCCCCCCCCCCTCCCTTCCCCCGCCAACCCCCCCCCCCTCGTCAACGCCCCCCTCAATCCCCTTTTTTTCTGGCCTCAACTTTTGCCCCCGCCCAAATTCGCCGCTCTCCCCAATTCCCTCCCCCAAATCTCGCCCCACACCTCTCTAAGCCCGGTACATTCGGGAGCCGCCTTGCTGGAAGCCGGGGTCATAATCGAACATAGCAAATTCCGCTAAGCATCTTTTAGCGCATTAAGCGAATAATTTGCCCGTCGTTTACCCTAGATTCGCGAATACTTGCGCTTATTGTCGTTGCACCTCTCGGATATGACCTATATTCTGTATCACTTACAGATTGAGTCACCGTCTTGGGTGGTGGGTGATCCCCTCCCCCCTCTTCCCCTCGGCCGTGGCGCTGCAGGAGCGAGGCCAAACCCGATTGCCCAACCGAAGTATTGGCATGGGCACATCTTTTCCCACCCCGGAATAATTGGTGGTGCTCAGGCCTTTTTCGGCTCGGACCCTGATTCATCCGAGCAATTTTTGGCTCGGCTCGGGTTTTACAGGGGTTTTTTCAGATGGGCCCAAATCGTCCGAGCTAGCAAAAAACCTAACTCAGGCCCTGGTCTGTACTAAACACAGGTGCTACGCCTAAGATAGAGAACACATGGTAATAAGATCCGGACACACTAGAAGCGTCAGCATACACAGAATGCAAGGCAGAACTAATATGATCCATGTATAAGTAAAAAACAAGCACATCGTGGCGCAGCAGGCTGAGCCAGTCAAGGAGGTCCGGAGCCGGGCCGAAGCGACGACGAAAGAGGTCGTTGAGGCGGCGGAAGCAGCGGGCAGTCGGGTGCGGGCGGCGGCACACCGTGCCACGCAGGGGCCCGGTCTGGAGCTGGTACTGGCAGCCGACTGCACCGAGACCGCTGGTAGACGCCGAGCTGCGAGGGCCGCTACCTTGGCCACCACCTCTAGGGGCTCCCAGCCACCCTGGCAGGAGGCGAGCCCACGGCTGCTACTGCTGCTGCTGCGACTGGTGCGGGTGCTGCTACTCCTGGGTACATGCACCAGCCCCCTCGTTAGAACCACTGTCGCCGCCGCCACCACCACCACGCCCTCCCTTGGGGCCTCGACGGCCCCGACGCTGGCGCTGCTTCTGCTGGAAGGCCGCCGCAGCAGTCTCAAGATTAGGAGCAGCCGTAGCGACTGCAGTGTAGACGTCCGCGTATGTGCACTGGGAGGGAGCACAGCCCTGAAAGATAGAGACGGCCACAACACCGCTTGACTGAGCGATAGTGCGCTGGCGAGTCTCTATCTCAGAAAGGGCAGCGACAAAGGCGGTCAGGGTAAGGTCACCTGGGTGCTGGCTAACAAAGTGGTCGCGGGCAGTGGCTAGGCGGTCAGGGAGGTGCATGGCAATAAGGTACAGGGTAGCGCAGAACGGCGGGGGGAAGGCAGTGAGCTGGGCAGTAGTGCTAGCGGCACGGTAGCTAGTCTCTAGTGCGCGGAGATGATTGGCAAGATCAGCAACAATGGGGAAAGCAGAGAGATCGGGGAAGAGCATGGGGAGGATCAAGCGGCCAGCTGAGGCGGAGGCAGGCTTGGAGTAGCGTGCAACTACCGCATCTAGGAAATCCTTGGCGTTCGCGATAGTAGTGAAACGCGGACGCTCAGAAAGGGGAAGTGCATGACTAATGGCAAGCTGCACTACAGCATCGCGAGAATCCCAGACACCGTGAGTGAGCACAGCAGCAGCAAAGGCCTCACTCTCAGCAGTGGTGGGGTCAGCAGGGAGGGGATCAGGGGCGGAGGGGCGAGGAAGCAAGCCATCAACATGCATAGCCAGGGAGTGCCCATCCTGGCGCTGACCTGTCAGGTGCCGGCGGAGATCGACAAGCCAGGCGGCGAAGTCAATTGCGTGTCCCTCCACGTCCAGATGGAGCATGGCGTCCGCCATTCGTCAACCACAGCGGCACCGGGACACAGCGGCATAGCGACACAGGGACACAGCAGCACAGTGGTACAGGGACTCAACGGCACGGTGACAGGACTCTCCGTAACTGAACCGAAAGGAAGGCCGAGGAGGGCGCGTGCGGAGTCGAGGCGCACAAGGGGCCGGCGTGTGGAGAGGGGTCGGCAGGGCACTTGAGGCCGGAGGTGCGCAGGAGAGGGGGCCGGCTAGGTGGTAGGGACCGGCTAGATGGTAGGGGCCGGCTAGGTGGTAGGGGCCGGCTAGATGGTAGGGGCCGGCTAGGTGGTAGGGGCCGGATAGGCGCAAGGGGCCGACTAGGCGCGAGGGGCCGGCTAGGCGCGTGGGGCCGGCAAGGCGCGAGGGGCCAGCTAGGGCGCGAGGGGGGGCTGGTCAGGCGCGAGGGGCCGGTGGGGAATGAGGGGCCAGCTGGGGCGTGAGGGGCCGGTCAGACACAAGGGGCGAGCGACGGCGCTAGGGGCGGGCGACGGCGCAAGGGGCCAGCGAGGGCGCGAGGGGTCAGCGAAGGCGCGAGGGGCCGGCTAGGGCGCGAGGGGCGGGCCGGCTGGTCGCGAAGGGGCCGGCTGGGCGCTAGGGGCGGGCGACGCCGCGAGGGGCCCGCTAGGGCGCGAGGGGCCAGCGAAGGCGTGAGGGGCCAGTGAAGGCGCGAGGGGCCGGCTAGGGTGCGAGGGGCGGGCCGGCTGGTCGCGAAGGGGCCGGTTGGGCGCTAGGGGCGGGCGACGACGCGAGGGGCCCGCTAGGGCGTGAGGGGCCAGCAAAGGCGCGAGGGGCCAGCGAAGGCGCGCGGGGCTGGTGACGGCGCGAGGGGCGGGCTGGCTGATCGCGAAGGGGCCGGCTGGGCGCTAGGGGCGAGCGACGACGCGAGGGGCCCGCCAGGGCGCGAGGGGCCAGTGAAGGCATGAGGGGCTAGCGAAGGCGCGAGGGGCTGGCGACGGCGCGAGGGGCGGGCCGGCTAGGGCCCGGCTACGGCGCGAGGGGACGGCAGGCACACTAGGGGCCGGCGGGCGCGCTGGGGGCCGGCGAGGCGCGGTAGGCTAGGGCGCGGGGCGGAAGCGGGTGGGGGGGGATCTAACCTACGCATGATACCATGTTAGAATACTAGATTGAATATGAAACAAGGGAGAATAAGAGAGATATAATGTTGGGGTTGTACTCACTAAGAACAAGCACCTATCTAGCCTATAACTTTTACATAACATTGTATGTTTAAGTTAACACTCTAGAAAAGTTTGGTGGATATACATTGTATAAACCTGGGGAGTTGGGAGAGTTCTAGAAGGATACCCTTTTTAGTGCACTGGAACCGCCTGCTTTTCAGTTCCAGAAACACTCCGTTGTTTACACTCACCTACATGGCATGGTAACTACTCTCTTCGATAGTGAGTGTAAAGAACACCTCCAGAGAAAGCCCTACCGTACATTTCCATTTCAGGGTACATAGCAAGCAATCACGCACTCCACCGCGCGCCTGCTCACATGCTGCAAGGCTGACAGGCTGAAGCTAAACACACATCCACTCTACATTCAGTGGGTGTAATCACCCCTGGAGAGCTCTAGAAGCTCACCACTCTCGGAGTAAGAAGCCATCACCCTCGTCACCTCGTGCCTGCTCACATGCCACGTGGCAGACATGCTGAAAGGCTTCCCCACCACGAGATGAAGGCTCCTGGGAACACACAGCACTATGCCCAGCGGAATTGCTATCAGCGTGTACTCCACCACATCATCATCTGCAATCCTCCTGCAATAACCGTCCCACAACGCAATAGATTCTGACGCTACCAGTTCCGGTGTTATCTTTTGTTCAATTCCTGCAATCTGATCCGTGGAGATAAAAGAGGGAAACTCTTTAGGGAGAACATCTGGGACAGGCGAGGCCCAGGCCTGGCTCTTCCAAGCTGGATCCGGGCGCTCCTTCGAATCTGCAGAGTCCTCCACAATCAGGGAGGCCAGGAAGGTTCCCTTAGCATCGAAGCCAAATGGGACGCTCAGCTGAGCCTCAGGACCTGCAGAGACAAGTGGGTTACAGAATAAAAAAAAAGGTGCCAGAAAAATGCATTCCTTGGATTTTGCTGAGTTCTCCACAGTCAGGGACGCCAGGAACTTTTCCTTTGGGACAAAGCCAAAAGGGACGCTCAGCTGAGCCTCGGGAACTGTAGGAGGGGGGAGGAGGGGGACAAGAGTGGAGTCAGCTGCTGCAGAGTCCTCAACAAGGAAGGCCAGAAACGCTCCCTTGAAGTGGAGACAAATCCAGACGGGACGCTCAGCTGAGCCTCGGGACCAGCAGAGGAGACAAACGGGATCTGCATATTGAATTAGAGCTGATGAAAGGCATGGGAGCACGTGGTGCATGGATATGGTAATGGCAAGAAAGCGAAGGGAGGTTATTTCAGGAGAATAACCGCAAATAAGAAAAGCAGCAAGAAGGTGGCGAAGCTGGGACTTCATGCGACCATGGAAAAATACCATTGCTGGAGCTATTTCCTATGTTTAGGACTTACCTCAAAAGAAATGCAAGCAGGATGATGCCATACCATTGCTGAAGAACACTGTGGCACAGCCACAGTAAGGTACAGCCCTTACCGTGGCCCCTTGAGCTAAGGCTTGAAAGTCGAATCACAAGTGAAAGTGACGCATCCAGGGTGGGAGCAATGCATCCAGGATGGGATCGATGCATCCAGGGTGGGAGCGATGCATCCAGGGTGGGAGCGATGCATCAAGGGTGGGAGCGATGCATCCAGGGTGGGAGCGATGCATCCAGGGTGGGAGCGATGCATCCAGGGTGGGAGCGATGTGCCATACCGTTGCTGAAGAAGACCTCGAGGTACAGCCCTTCCTGGGGCCCCTTGAACTGCTGCTGCACCCACGCGCCCTCGCCCTTGGGATTGACGCACAGCACGCGGTGAGACGGGCGCGCAGGATGCATGATGCCGTCAGGCAGGCTGTGGTCCTGGCGGGTAATTTCCCAAGTTACCCCTGATAAAGGAGTCATGGTGAGATCCCCCTTCTCCTCGTACCAGTCGTTCTGCCAGAGTACAGGGTGAGAGAGCGTCAGAATAAGAGGTTCACGCGCTGTCAGGGAGGCTGTGGTTGTTGCGAGTGACTCCCCATGTCACCCGACAAGGGAGTGAGGGACGGATTCCCCTTCTCCTTGAACCAGTCGTTCTGCAAGGCCAACCATCCATGACAAATTCAGATGCAGAGAAGATGCAAGTACAGAAGCCATTCTGTTTCCACCACCTCGTGGATGAAGTGGAAACAAGAGAGCATCATTCATTCAGCTCTCTATGTATGAAAGACTTCAACTCCTTTTAAGAACGAAAGACGCCTCTAAGAATGACTCGCTAAGGAAGACTTGACTCACTTTAAAGGATAACTCACTAAGGACGACTCACCACGTGGTCGAAAGCTGACTTCTCATCATCCTTAAACTGGAACGAACGGACGGATCTGAACGATTTCTGCAGCGCGTCGCCCTCCACGGGCTTCCAGATCTTCCACTCGCCGTGCCAGTGGCGGATGTGCGGCGCGTGCCACGCCCAGTGCTCCTCGCTCGTCAGCTGCCGCTCCTTCTTAACAGAGCTCTGACTCTTGACGTTAGTTCCCTCGGCATTGGACCGCACCATGCTTCGCCGCGATGGGAAAACGCGACTCTTGCGGGTAAGCGCTGGGGAGTTAAGCTTAACGGTTTTGAAGAGGAGGCGCGGATTCGTGGAGAGACAAGCAGCCATGGATCGAGTCTCTCCACGTGATATTGAACCACGTGAATAGTCAATCCGCGTGGAGGGGAAGAAAACTTCGATGAAGCAGGGATGGTCTGTAGATCAACGTGAGTCGACGCAACGTGTAAGTGATATAATCCGTGAGTCGACTGGATGCACAACGTGTACGAGGTAGCTGCCGTTCTAATCGCTGATACCCTCGGCCATCAGGACGAATGTATTGACGCCACGTCGCGTGGCGGTAACGCCACCGACAGCGTCGTTAATTTCCAAGGCGCCGTGGCGGAAGTCGTCGGCCTCAAGGCCTCCAGCTTGAAACGAGGCTTCGACTCGCGGACGACAGGAGGCAGGGAAACCCTTCACGGACACGTCATGCGACGACGGATCTGAGTCAGCAACTCCGGTCAGCATGACGAGTCTGTGAAGGGTTTTCATGAACCACACCACCATTGTGGAGCGAAAGCAGCAGTCGTCTAGAAGAGATCCCTAGGTACCGATATCCCCAGCTGACAGCAGGACACATCCCTAGAATGCTCGGTAACTAAGCTGTCCACGTCTCTGTCTCTAATCGCGAGTGGCTCATTCAAGCTCCTGGTTGACAGCTGTGACAAGATTGGGATGGAAACAAAACAAAACTAGCCGTTGGAGAGCGTCCTGGGGAACAACGACTGGAAATGGCAAGACATGCTTGACATTCTCGAGGCATGTCTTGGGAGAGCTGCGAGGTGTTGCGAAACGTTTGCGAGATGGACATACAGTGACGATGGAATTTCCTGCAGCTCGTGAATGAGGCCGTGTCCCAGATGTAAGTCTGATTGCGGCGAGTTCAGGTTCTTTGCGGCCTAGAGCGCTTAAAGATTCAGTTAGAACGGTTGAGTCGGGTATTTCGGGAAGTCGTAAGCTTGCGACACGCCCTCCGAAACTGGCTCGTTGGGGACGCGAAATTCTCGCTAAGAGCCTGTCGCGATGAACGACGACAGCACAGACGTTTCGCCATGATGACACCAGGCTTCGCAGCCCAACCTAGGGTCTGTCGAGACTAGACTAGACAGCGCTTGCATGCACACATATAATGGACTGCTAGACCAGACTAGACTAGACAGACATACCACTGCCATAGCATGCATACATGATTCCGTCGTCAGAGGTATCCAGAATGGCTCATACTGTCGGTCTGCCACGTGGCGCGTCAGCATCCGCCAGATGCGCCTCGCGTACAGACGCGAGACTATTACAGTGCAGCAGTTTTGCTGTCTCGGGAAGCCTGAAAGAGGGTTACCACAGCGAGGCTCGTCAACCTGCCTTGGGAAGTCTGAAAGACGGCACTTGGAGAGGAATTTGCGACGCATCGTCGTTTCGCCCAAGGAAGAACCGGACACCGACGAGCCACAAGGAAGACGACGATGCTTCTTGCTCGCATCGTTTCCGTCGGCACTTCTTTCTCGATCTCCGTCTCACATAACCGTGATTTCCTCTAGCGCTGCCGCTCTTCTGTAATCTCGGTATGGCTTCTCTTCTCGTCCCGAAACCTTCCCCACCAGTCGCGGCCGTAAGGTCCCCCAGTATGCGGAAGAACAAGCCTGCGTGTAGCTTGCCAACCCCTGGAGTCACTCAGCCTCGGAGTCCTTGGAGCCTTCGGAGCCCTTGGAGCCCTTGGTCAACAACCCGCAATATCTTTCTGATCTCCCATGTTACTACGGCGCGGACTCTTAGACCTAGTCTGCACACTAGTCACCTCAGACCTCTCACCAGCAAGAGGTTTCTCACCTTAGGCCTCTTTGCAGCACCTTTTTCGCGTCATAGTAGCAAGAGTTTGCGGCTGTTTCCGTCGCTGTCATTCAGTATCCGCCGCTCCCTTGAGCCGCGTCCTTTACAGTCTCACTCGTCAATGAGCTCATCTCCACGACCGCTGGGATCACCGCGCTCCTGCCATGCTGACACGTCACCATCGCCTTCATCAATGCTTTCTTCTGGTTCGCCCTGTTGTTATTTAGCTAAACACACACTGTTAAATCCGCTCATATCTCATCCGCTCATCTCTCACCTCCCAGTGGTCAAAACTAATCTACTCTCCCACATCCCCTCACTCAACGGCATATGCTCCTCTCATACGCTCCTCCAAGCCCTACTCCCCTTACCTCTTACAGCTCCTACCCTTTAAGTTTAACCCCCTCCCGATCCCTGAGATCAGCCGGACTTCAGCAACGCCAGTGGCGCGTGATTTTAGGCGCCTCAAAACTTGAGTTCTATCAGCCGGACTACAGCAACTCCAGTTGCGTGTGTTGTGCCTTTTCTTTCCCTGGCTCCCCGCCCAGTCCCTTTCTGGGACGGTTCTTAGGAGGCCCCCCTCCGGCGGACCACCACTGGTGGGACGGGCTCCCCGTAGACCCCTTGCAGATTAGGCCGCGCCCGAAACTCGAGCAACTCCACGTGTGCGTGTTGTGCCATGCTTTTCCCCTACTCCCCGCCCAGACCCCTTACAGGGCCGGCCGGCTCTTAAGGCCCCCTTCCTCCCAACCACCACACTGGTGGCACGGACACCCTTTCTGATTTTGCCTCGCCCGAAACTCAAGCAATTCCACGTGTGCGTGTTGTGCCTTTTGTTTCCCTTCTCCCGCCCAGACCCCTTCCAGGGTCGGCTCTTAGGCCCCCCTCCCGCCGACCAGCACTGGTGGGACGGGCTCCTCTTTGCCGGGCCTATTGTGGTCCGGACCGGGCCGGAGCAGGCGGCTTGGGTGGGGGGCAAGGCATGGCGGATGTATTACCATGGGCGGGACTCGGAGGACTGGGGCATGGGGGTGCACGCGCAACCAGGCACCCCGTTTGGGCGGGTGGGCATGGCGCTTAGCCACGATGGGGTGACATGGGAGAGGTACGTATGTCTTGAGTTGATCTTGCAAGGCATGGTGGATGTACTACCATGGGCGTGACACGGAGGAGTGGGGCATGGGGGTGCACGCGCAACCAGGGAAGCCGTTTGGGTGAGTGGGCATGGCTGTTAGCAGCGATGGGGTGACATGGGAGAGGTGCGTTCCTGTGAGATGACCTGGCATCGAACAGCATGCGAACCCTAAACCCAAGGCATGGCCGATGTACTACCATGGGAGGGACACGGGGGAGTGGGAAATGGGGGCGCGTGCACAGCCAGGCACTCCGTTTGGGCGCGTGGGCATGGCTGTCAGTCACGCTGTTAGATGGTGGGAGCAGTGCGTGTGTGTGATGGTGGGAGCGGTGCGTGTGTGATGATGGGAGAGGTGCCCGTGTGTGTGGTGATGGGAGAGATGCTCGTGTGTGTGATGATGGGAGAGGTGTGCCGACCCCTCAGAGACGACCGTTCGGCGTGTGACTGTGCGCATGTGGGTGGGGTGCACTCTCTCCCTTCCTTCCTGGGAGTTGTGTCACAACTCTCCTCTCCTTGAACCTTTTGCCCCTCTCTCTCTCCCCCCGGGGCCCGCCTTCCTCCCAGGTACCGTGGCCCTCTGCCCGGTGGAGCCATATTCGACCCGTCTGACGACCCCTCGGCGTTTGACTGCGTGCATGTGGGGTGCAGCGACGTGCATCTCATGCCGGATGGCACGTGGCTCATGCTCTACTATGCAGGTGCGTGTGCTTATAATGAAGCAGGGTCTATAACGAAGCAGGTCTATAATGAAACAGGTGGCTATGCTGAAATAGGTGTTTTTTGCTTGCAGGTGGGCTCATATTGATGCAGGCATGATTATATGAAGCAGGTGTGACTATATGAAGCAGGTGTGCTCTGCTATGCAGTTGTGATTATAGATGGCTCGTGGATCAATCAAACTCCCCTCCCCTCTACCATACCTGCCACTCCCCCCTTGGATTGGACCCCTCCTCCCTTGGCCTCTTCCTCCCTCTCGTTCCCCCTTCTTTTGAGTCGACTCAAAAGCAGACTTGGCCTCTTCCTCCCTCTCTTTCCCCCTTCTTTTGAGTCGACTCAAAAGCAGACTTGGCCTCTTCCTCCCTCTCTTTCCCCCTTCTTTTGAGTCGACTCAAAAGCAGACTTGGCCTCTTCCTCCCTCTCTTTCCCCCTTCTTTTGAGTCGACTCAAAAGCAGGCTTGGCCTCTTCCTCCCTCTCTTTCCCCCTTGCATCGCGTTTGGACCTTGGTCGCTTACTTGTCAGGCCACCACCCCCACGCTCTTTTTCCATCCCCCTCTCCTTCTCCTCCCCCCCCTCCGTCTTGCAGGTGGTTTGGACTAAGCATGGGCAATAGGCGAGTCGAGCATTACTCGCTCCGAGTAATTCTGACTCGACCCTCTTGGGAGGCGAGTCGAGCATTACTCGAGTCGAGTCTTTTTGCCTAGAACCCGACTCGTTTACTCGTTTTTGGGGCTGAGGCAAGCATTACTCGCCTTGGGGCTGTTTTCCCCCCCCTCCCCGAACAGTCGCATTTTAGGAGGGGAGCGTTTGAACGTTAAACCCTTGATTTCTGGTCTGGCAAACGCTTGATAAACGCAAGGGGGGGGGGGGGGGGGAGCGGGGTTGCAGAGCACGTTCTAGGAGCCGATATGGCGGCTTTTGTAGTTGCGCGCGGAAATAGGTTACCAGCATTAGGAGGGATAGCGTGCGCCCTCCTCACATAGAGCGTGCTAACAGGTGCGGTGGGTTGGATTTCGTAGTTGCAAACAGGTTCAGTGCGGTTGAAGTGGAGGGATTTGTTCGGAAGTCAATTTCTGGCGAAAATGTTGACCTGGCGACATTCCGTTTCGGATTCGCCACGTCGCACAGTTGTGGTTGGTTTCTTCGCAATTTCTCGTGGGCTGCCGAAATAAATAAAAAAGCAGCCACGTTTGGTGTCTGATATTGCATTTGTGGTCACATAGCTTCATTTAGGGGTTTGATTCGTTAGGCCTGCCCAAGATTACTCGGCATGCACACTATGTGTGAGCAATATCAGTGCACGCGCGGAGTTGTTGCTCGCGAGCTAAAATTGCTTGCGAGTAATTTTTACTCGCCCACATGATACGAGTAACAGTCGAGTACTCGTTTACTCGACGAGTAAACTCGACTCGACTCAGGGCGAGTAATTTCCAGGGGGTGCCGGCTCGTTACTCGGTAAAAAACGAGTCGAGCAATCGAGTCGAGTTTTTACTTGCCTCGACTGCCCATGCTTAGTTTGGACCCCATTCGCTTCCCTGCCTGGCCACCACTCACACACTACTTTCCACCCCCCCTCTCCTCTGCCTCCTCCTCTTCCCCTCAGGTGGTTTGGATCCGGGTCGCTTTCCAGCCTGGCCAGCTGGCAAGACGGCATTGGGCGCCCGCTTGCGATGTGGCATCGCCACGTCAGCAGATGGGGTGACGTGGCAGCGAGCAAAGACTCCCTTCCTGGACATCAGTGGTGCGGGCAGCTGGGATGAGCTGGCAGTTTCCTGGCCACGTGTCACTGCCTTGTCCACACAGCGTGCGATGGGGCGAGGCAAGGCAGAAGATTGTGTCGATTCAACGGGTGGAGGGAGAGTGCAGGAGATGGAGGGAGCAAAGGCGGAGGGAGGGAAGCTGGAGGGAAGGAAGGCGGAGAGAGGAAAGGCAGAGGACATGATTCTTGCATCATTCGCTGATGTGGCGGAAGCTGATTGGCTACTGACGTACCAATCAGTTGGCGACCCCCATGCCCCCGGCCATGCCCATGTGGGGGAGGGCAGGGAGGTGGAGCGAGTGCCAGAGTCCGTCCCTCAGTACTGCTACACCATCGGCTCCGCTGCCTTTGACCCCTGCACAAAGACATGGTGAGCTTTCCACAACATTGCGCGATGCTGTTCTCGACTCTGGCCGTGCCCATGGGGGGAAGGACGGGCAGGTGGAGCGAGTGCTGGCGTCCGTCCCACAGTACTGCTACACCGTTGGCTCTGCTGCCTTTGACCCAACGACAATGACATGGTGAGGTTCCAGCGTCTTTCATTTACTGGGGTGCTTGCCTGAGGTCGTGCCCATGTGGGGGAGGACGGGCAGGTGGAGCGAGTGCCTGAGCCCCTCCCTCACCACTACTGCGACACCATCGGCTCTGCTGCCTTTGAGCCAAGCACAAAGACATGGTAAGGTTCCAGCATGTTCACTCACTGGGGTACTTGCCTCGTGGCCATGTTGGGAAGGGTGGGGAGGTGAAGTGGGTACCTGGGGTCCCTCCACAGTACTGCTACACTATTGGCGGTGCTGTCTTTGGCCCAAAGACCAAGACATGGTAAGTCTTTGGCATGTCATGTGCCATGTGAGGCGGATGGGGAGGCGGAGCAGGTGCCTGCGTCCCTCCCTCAGTACGGCTACACCATCGGCGTAACTGCCTTCGACCGAACGACCAAGGCATAGTGAGGGCCGTATGATGTCTTGGTAACCAGGGTGCATACATGCCCACGACCTGCTGCCTCTCTTCCTCTCCTTGCGTCCCTCCCATGCGTGAGGAGTCCATTTTTGAGGCGCCTCAAAAATAAGCAATCGTGGGGAATTGGAGTGCCGTTGTTTCCATGAAGAAACTCTTCTCCTTCCTCGCTGCCTCTCTTCCTCTCCTTTCGGCCCTCCCAATCACACCCCCCCCCTCGCCCTCCCGCCTTCCCTTCCTACCACCCCCTCTCTTCCTCCCATCCCCTCCCTCCCTCTCAACCCACCTGCCAGGATCAAGAGGGGCTCCTGCATTCGCCGAGGCCCCATAGGAGCGTGGGACGAGGCAGGTGCCAACCGACGCCATGTGCTGCCGCTTGCTGCCTTCGGCCCGAAAGCCGTTCAGAAATGGAAGGAGGGTCTCCACCACCAGGGAAAGAAAGGGGAGGATAGCTTAGCGACAGGAGAAGCTGGTGGCCCTCCTGTGCTGCTTATGTTCTATGAAGGGGCGCGCTATAACGGGACGTATGCAATTGGGCTTGCATATTGCCTGGATGGAGGGGAGACCTGGGATAAGGCCAGGCACATTGGGCCCGAACCAGGTGGCCCGATCCTGCAGCCTAGATTTGGAGAGGAGGTTTGGGATAATATGCTGGTGGGGACGCCACACTTGGTAGTGAGTGGAGGAGAGGAGGGGAGTGGTAAGGTTCTAATGTACTACACTGGGGTTGGGGAGGTGAGTGGGTATGGGAGAGTGAGGGGGATAGGAGCATTAGTGTGGGAGGGAGGTGATTCTGGTGACCTGGGCAAGTGGACAAGACTGGTTGTGGATTGATTACGTTGGTTTGAAGTGTTTTTTCCTTTCCATTATATTAACATACACTGGTTTAGCTCATGATTAGTAATCCGAGTTGGCACAATAGCTCTACAGAAAAGCCTAAATTGAACCCATCAAGCCAAAGAATGGCACCACTTCTAAACACCAATGTAGTCTAGGATGATGGACCAGGTTATTAAGTCTTCATTTTCGTTATCCCTAAAAAAATCGCGCATTAGTGAGTCATCAGCAGCGTCTCCGTAAGAGACCCTTGCAGCCATTGCAGGAGAAGTCAACTACAGTGGCGCCCCTGCAATTCAGTAAGGGGGGGTAGATCAGGGCATTGATGAGGGGATGCATGATCAGCATTGCTGACACCTAGCAGCCTAGCACCATAGTGAAACCTCTGCAACCATGGGAAGGTGGATAAAATAGGGCATTGGAAGAGGGATGAACCATCACATGCTCAAGAAATCCCCTCCTTGTAAATTCATGGTAACAAGTAAACCCCAACCCTCGCCCGACAAACTCACTTGGCGTTGTGACTGCCGTCCGCCTCCCACATCCCTGCGCCATGTGCCCAAATCAGGTTACTGTACTCCGATCGCCTAACAGCTACTGTCAGTGTCCTCTTATACCCATAACAAGTAAACCCCAACCCCCGCCCGGTAAACTCACTTAGCGTCATGACTGCCATCCGCCTCCCATATCCCTGCACCGTACGCCCAGATCATATTACTGTAACCCGATCTCTTCACCGCTACACTGCCAGGATCGCTTAATCCACGGGAAAATCTGATTAGCGGAAAAAAATAACAGGGAAGGGAAGCAAGAGAGCAGGAGAAATGAGTCAATATGCATGTCATTATATTAGTCTACAGTCCTTGAGTTCGCACCCGTAAGACCATGCCCATTCCGTAACTTCAAGGCCGTTGTAAGCATGCAGTACCTGCACCACAACAGAACTTACTGCATAATCATCTTCCGTAACACTCGACGAGGTCGACCCCCACGAAGCAGCGACGGCCTTCGCCGTGTACAGGGGGTCGCTCTCGAGGTCATTCCCAATATACGCGATAAAATTCACCTGCATCGGTATAAGAACACTGTACCTGTACCGTAACAGAACTTACTGCATTACTATCGTCGCTTCATCCTCCGTAACACTCGACGAGGTCGACCCCCACGAAGCAGCGACGGCCTTCGCCGTGTACAGGGGGTCGCTCGCGAGGTCGTTCCCAATGTTCGCGATTTAGTTGATCTGCGCCGTTATAAGCCTGCAGTACCTGTACCATACCATAACTTACTGCATTATAATCGACGCTTGATCGTCCGCAACGCTCGACGAGGTCGACCCCCACGATGGAGCGACGGCCTTCGCCGTGTACAGGGGGTCGCTCACGAGGTCGTATTCGCCGGGCGCCATGCCGACGTCCTCCATTACAATCACATTGCTTCCCGCCATCTTGCCGCTCTGCGACCACCCCACGGCGAACCAGCTGACTGCAGCGGGGGTGCCCTTCTTCGCCTCCACGGCCAGCTGAAGTTGACCGCTCGACGGAGTCACTGCTTGCCAATGGAGGGTGAGACTGGGGGAGGGGGGCAAGAGGGGGGGGAGGGGGGGGGGGGGGGGGGGAGGGGGGAGGGAAAGGGCAGGGGGCAGGGGGCAGGGGGAGGGGCGTGGGTTGGGGTAACAATGCTCGCATCAGGAGGGGCGCCCTTTTCCGCCTCGACGCCGAGCTGAAGCTGCGCGCTTGTGGACGTCGTTGCGTGGCAGCGGAGGATCAGACTGGAAAGGTTGGGGCGCAAGGGGGGTGGGGGGGGGGGGAGGGGGGAGGGGGAAGGGGGGATGAGGGAAGGGATTGTCAACCACCCCGCGGCGAACCAGCTCGCAGAAGCCGGAGTGCCCTTCTGGGCTTCGATGGCGAGTTGAGGTTGCTCGCTAGAGGGGGTCAGTGCTTGCCAATGAAGGGTGAGTCTGCGGGAGCGGGGGAGGGTCTTGAGTTGGGGTGACAAAATACGCAGCAGGAGGGGTTGGGGGGGGGTTGTATTTTGAGTCGACTCAAAATACACCTGGGGGTTGGGGGGTGGTTTGGGCGCAGGGGTGGGGGGGTTGAGAGGAGAGACAGTGAACCGCCCCACAAGTTGACCAGCTCGTCGCAGCGGCAGCGCCCTTTTCTCGCCTAAGCTGCTCACTCGACGAGGTGACTACTTGACTAGGTGAGTGAAATGCGGGAAAGGCGCTGAGACGAAGGGGTGGGGAGGGGGGGAGGGAAAGGCGATCGGCTGCGATTACGCATTTCGTACCCGTCAGTGAGCTGTTTTCGTACCCGTCAGTGAGTTGTTTCGACGACGAGAATCCGGTCAGCGAGGACTTGTTGCACTTGGCGAAGAAGACGAGCGGGTTATTCACCCTCTTAAAGTTTAAGTTGAATCTAAAGCTGGGAAGGAAGCCGGCTTTCGGAGTCAAGCCGGCCTGGGAGGCGCGATGAGTGCCAGGTGTAAAGTTAACTTCGGATCGCGCGCACGTGCTTGACGGGAGCGCAGCGAGGAGAACGGCGAGCGCGATCCACACACGAATCATGATGTGCGCAGCTGATCGGACTAGTCGGGCCATACTTTCAGTATTTTCGAGCGTATGTGCTCTGCTGCGTTGTGCTATGCTGTGCTGTGCTGTGTGGTGTGGTGTGGTGCTGTGCGTTAGAGTGGTTTGATGGCGAACCTCCTCTGTTGACTGGAACAGGCAATAACAACGGGCTGTGCAATGGCGAGGTCAAGGAATGACGCGGTCACTGCTCTGAATTTAGCCTTCTAAACTGATATCTACTCGACGCATTCTCGTATCTCTTCAAAAACTTCGCCCGACTGGAGATGAGAGCAGATCTGTGAAATTTCCAAGACAGCCAAGCAGGTGCTCCAATCCCATGCTGCTGTTTTGCGCTGTATCTTGAAATACGAACCAATCGGACCGAAGCGGGGTGCTGAATCATCACAGCGACCGCCACGAAGGGCTGAGATGCGCGCTAAGGTGTGAACCAAATTTGAACCAACGGTAGTAATGAGGTGATCGAAGCGCACTTTGCGAGCTACAGCTCATCAGCCAAACCCGACGCGCACCATAAGTGACTTGAAATGTATGGGATAAGGGCGTGCCCTCCTAAGTGTCAAAATTCTCATGTTTCTGGTGCAGCTTGGTCTAGCATAGAAAATTCAGGGCTCTGAGCGAGACGTTAGGATCCAGTGCAATAAATTTCCAAAATCGCAACTCAGGACACGCCCTAAGGGGATGGCATTTCATATGGCACCACCCCACAGACACACACCCCACGGGCACACACGCCCTGTTGGAGGAAATCGTGGCGCGATGCTTTACGTGGGGCAAAATTCGCGGGAAATGCGCGACTCGGTGGATGTGACTATAATACCATTACAGTTTAGGTGAGGGGGCTAGTAGCGCGATCAGCTTTCTGCGATTCGGAACCATGAAATTGGCGACATGGTTTGTGTCGTGAGAGGGCAAAAAAGTGTCTAGATCCAGTCCCTCTTGTCGTCCAAACACTGTATCCCCAGCCACTCAGATACGCTTCGCGACAGACCCCGCTTTTATACAAGCGGCTTCAACCGTATTGTACGTTGAGTGTGAATGACGACACAAACATGACAAATCTAAAGACATACAATGAGAGAAAGAAATGGGTAAGGGCGGGTGTGTAAGTTTAGGGGACGCTAATGCCACAGTTTATTATAGATTAGATTATGCCACAATACAGGGATAGCTTTGCATTCGGACATCGTAGACAAAAAAAAAAAAACGTACAAGGTAAACAACAGTTGCGGAGAAACTGAACAAAATAAGGGCAAATTCCTACTGTTCGCGTCAGACTCCACCTTGCGTCAGACTCCCGACGAGCCGAGACGCACCGCATCGAATTGCGATATCAAGCCTGTGCACCACGCAGGACCGCATGAGTCGGAAGCGAGGTGGTCTGACGCGAGGTCATAGGAATCCGCCCTAACTTTTTCTCATAGTGGTTAGCCGCTAGTACGGCGCACCAGGAGGAACATAGTACAGAGTTGTTTAGCAGAAGAGCCTTGTCAACCCTCTACAGTCACAGGAGAAATCCACCACTGAAGCACCTCTGAGAAAAGAAAGTCAGGCGAACCAGTAAAACGGGGAGTGTAACGAAACTGTTTTACGAAGAGGAGAAATAAGGACATGGATGTTGATGATCCATGAATGGGCCTCAATTCATGCCTCTGCATATACAGTAGAGGTTCTCAATGCAGCACTTTTGTGAAACGAGGGAAAGAGAAAGGGCAAACAACGGCTTTACAAGTGTGAAAGAACTGCGGGGCATACCGGCAAGACGAATGGAAAGCGGGGGAAACCAAAACGGAAGGGGAAACAGTGGACTTACGTTGACCTTTTCTCATTTGAAGACTGGGCGTTAGCTTTTCCACACCTGTTGACTGGGGTTGACTGGCGTTGACTGACAAGCGCCTGCCCTCACCTGGTCACATGCGGCCCGCTCGGACTCCAAGCCCCCAGACCAAACGCCCAAACTATGTGGGTCCTTCCTCGCAGCTTCACAGGCACTCCAGCGTCCCCCTTGGGCCGGCTGAACCTGCAGTTTGCGATTGTAGTGAACGGCAATGATTTAGGAGGAAATTCAACTAATTCTACTGCTACAAGAGTCCTTCCTCGCAGCTTCACGGGCACCCACGCATCCCCCTTAGCCCGGCTGAACCTGCAGTTTGCGATTGAATTGGACGCCAATAAGTAAAGATAAGATTGAACCGACAACTAGCAAACTTAGTTGCTACAAACGCTCTGGCAGACGCGCGTTTAGCGTTCAAACGCTTGCGTTTGAACGCAAACGCCAAACGAACCCTAAAACGCAAACACTCTGCCCCCTGGAAAAAAATCGAAAAAAATTGGGACGAAATTGAGACTTGGCCAATTCAGCGCGACATTCGCCAAGTCCCAACTCCCAACCATCTCGTCAATATTCACCTCCCAACCAGCTCCCCCCCCCCAACCGCACTCCACACATCGTCAACTAGAGCTTCCAACCCCTCCTCCTCACATCTCGTAGTTTCACGCAAACTCCCAATCCCCTTCCCCCGTCAGATCTGCTTTCTAATTGCCGCGCGCCATAGCCGTAGCAACTTTCACACCCCGCGCAATACCTTAACTTAAGGGCGCTCGCCCATGTCAACCCCTGAGAGCGATGCGGATGTTGCTGTTACAGCGTCCGCATGTTCTAATGCGTACGAGGCGGATAAGAACCATGAGGTCTATAAATACTTCCGCGTTCTAGTCAAGGAGGCCGGTGCAATGCAGAAATACGAGTGTCGCCCGGACATGTGTTTTACATGACGTTTGAGGATGCTTGCATAAATGTTCATGACGGATTTATTTTTCTTGTTCAAACACCAAACGCGTTTGTAGCAACTAAGCTAGCAAACATCCCAACCGAATCAGCTGTTGTTGACTCCCTGAATTAATTTCCTCTCACCTCACTATAATGCCCAGATTCGTTATCGAGATGCTCACAACATGTCAGCAGCCGTCCACGTGGCAGGTTTACCAATAACAGCATGCGACCTGCCCAACCAAGTCACGTCATATCCATAAGTTGAACATATCTCCTCTCACCTCATTATAATGCCCAGATTCGTTTTCGTGATGCTGGTGTCAGCAGCAGTCCACGTGGCAGGGTTGCCACTAACAGCGTGCCCAACCAAATCCGCGATCACAGGAGCGCTGGACGGCGAATCCATCACAATCACGTTGCTGCCGCCCATCTTGCCGCCCGGGGACCACCCGGCAGAGAACCATCCATGGCCGGCAAGGGACCCAGTGGTTGCCACCAGGGCGAGTTTCACCTTGTTGCTGCCCCCTGTGGTGGCGCGCCAATGGAGAAACAGACTGGAAGGGGGCAGGGGATAGGGAACACGCTTTGGCGGGCGGCCAGCTGGCAGAGAACCATCCAGGGCGAGTTTCCCCATCTTGCTGCCCCCTGTGGTGGCGCGCCAATGGAGAAACAGACTGGAGGGGGGCAGGGGATAGGGAACACGCTTTGGCGGGCGGCCAGCTGGCAGAGAACCATCCAGGGCGAGTTTCCCCATCTTGCTGCCCCCTGTGGTGGCGCGCCAATGGAGAAACAGACTGGAGGGGGGCAGGGGATAGGGAACACGCTTTGGCGGGCGGCCAGCTGGCAGAGAACCATCCAGGGCGAGTTTCCCCATCTTGCTGCCCCCTGTGGTGGCGCGCCAATGGAGAAACAGACTGGAGGGGGGCAGGGGATAGGGAACACGCTTTGGCGGGCGGCCAGCTGGCAGAGAACCATCCAGGGCGAGTTTCCCCATCTTGCTGCCCCCTGTGGTGGCGCGCCAATGGAGAAACAGACTGGTGGGGGAAGGTTGGGAAGGGGGCGGGAGGGGGGGGAGAAGGGGGGGGGAAGGAGGGGGGAGATAATAGGATACGTTGGAGGGCCCAGAAGCTTGAATTTCTTGCTGCTGGCTGTGGTGGCGCGCCAGTGAAGGAACGGACTGAAGGGGGAGGCGCAGAGTACAAGGGAATGGGGGAGGGGAAGAAGGCAGAGCCTGTGGGGGGGGGGAACAGGGAACTAGAACAGGGGGAAAAGAAAGGAAGCCATATCCCGCTTGTGAGACGCGTGGAGGAGAATTGAGGGTTGAAGGGGGGCAAAGGGAACGGGGACTCTCCCGCGAACCACGCCTTACAGGGAGCTGCTTGCTCGAGAGGCAATCGGCCTACCAACCACAGCGTACTTTTGAGAATTCTCAAAGCTCGCCCGCAAGTCATGCGACACATGCCATATCCGCCTATGAGTCTATTTTTGAGGCGCCTAAAAAAATTCATGCGTGAGGAGTCTATTTTTGAGGCGCCTCAAAAATAGACTTCTAAAAGATCGCCCGCGAGTCATGCGACACATGCCATATCCGCCGCCTATGAGTCGCTTGGCGAAGGTGAAGCCCTTGATTGATGCTGGACGTGTCAGTTGTACCAACGAGACTACCCGCCTCTAAAAGACGTGAGCAAGCGGCGTACCAGCCACGCCTAGTCTGCAAGTGAGCCATGGCTTACCCGCCTGTGAGTCGCCTGGCGGACGTGAATCCCTTGAGGCTGGACTTGGAGCACCGACTGAATAGCAGCGACCGCCGCCAGAGCTCCGATTCGTAGTAACTCGCCGCCACGTCAGAGCTCCTCGCCACGTCAGAGCCCCTCTCCGCGTCAGACCTATTCGTCACGTCAGCACGCGCCAGAGAGCGTTCAGAAGGGAGGAGGAGGAGCAGGATGGAAAGCAGCAGTGGCATAAACCTGAGACATGCAGCGAAGGGCGGTGCGACGAGAGGAGACATTGTTACCGCGTATATTGGACGACGCAGAAAGTATTTTTTTGTCAATCAATCCTTTAGAGAGAGAAAGGATTCAACAACGGCGTGCGTTTTGCTCTTCAAGAGAAGCCAAGATGGCTCTTTCACGAACAATTTGTTTCGCCGCCTTGAAGTTCGGCGTGAATCTTGAAAGGGTACTAAAGGTCATGTGCGCTCGTGAGTCGACTAAAAATCTTGAAAGGGTACTAAAGTTCATGTGCTCTCTTGCTCGTCGGCGACTTCGGCTTCAATATCGGCCAATACAAATTATTCCCCTTACTCACGGCCCGTTCGCACTGGAGATGGCAGTAAGAGGTGAGGGAGTGACATGGCGGCTCCCTCAGTTGGCCTCCGCATCACCCTCCCTCCATCCCACCACCCGTTACGAGGTGAATTTTGATTCGCCTAAAAAAACATCTTGCCTGAACTGTACGAATCTAGATTGTCGTGACCCCTACTGTCAGAGGCCATGGCTGCTGTCGGCTAGGCTTGGCTGCAGCCACCGACAGGACAAACCCAAGGTAAGGTGTGAGGGGAAGGGAGAGGGAGGGGTTGGTGTACAGTATAATAAGTACAGTGAAAATTTATCACCACTGAATTCCGTAACTGCGATACTTTTGGAACATTCGTCGACCATACTCCGCGTCCCGTCACGGCCCGTCCATGAAGTTTTGGCTCGTTGCCCGGAAAGAGACATTTGGGCGAAATTGTGGGTGACGGAGTCTGGGCTAGTAACTGCGACGGTTGACGGACGGTGACGGACTTTTGCGAAGGGGTCCTCCGTGGTGGACGATGGTGAATGGAAGCGTGGGCTGCCCAGGCAACCAGCGCTGGCGAATGAGAAGAGCGATGCTGATGTGGAGCGAAACCACTCTCACGTGCTGTGCTGTTCCCAGTACGGTTTACATGCGCTCGCGCTAATCGTCATAGTCATCATAACAATATAAATCTTATATAATAGGAATGGCTGACTACAGCACTGTTTCCTCCGCGAAACATCGCCCGAACCTTCCGCACTCAGGACATGGTGACGTGTCAGGCCACGAGGGTGAGTCTCACTGGCGGGACCGTACACGCAGCAATCGCAAGCAGAGAGATGAGTGCCCCCGTGGGCGCATCTATTGCCACAGCTGGTTCGCGAGCTACTAGTAGGCAGGTTTTAGTTCCCTGTATCTCTGTGCTTGCTGCACAAATGGCCAGGACGGCTTCGTAGTAGTATCAGGACGGCTTGAAGCCGGCGCAAGCCGTGGTTCCTTGGTCCAACTATAACGAGTATGGCATGACTCCTCAAGCCATACCCCCCAAAATCCCGTTAGCTTTCGCTGCTTCAAGCTTCGCCAACCGCCGCTGGATGCGTCTTCGCCCACGCCATGTGGAATTTCGCCAACTCGTGTAACCACCTCGCCACCCTCCACGTTATCGTCAGCAGCTCCTCACCCTATTGGCCCCGCAAGCTCTCCGCGGTTCCCGCTCAACCCTCTATTGCACGCTCATCCTACGGCCGTGGTTAGCTTCTATCGCACGCTCTTAAGCTCTGAGACACGGCGACCCGCAGCTCGTGGTACAACCCCGTTGGAGTGGTTCCGCCACCCACGCGGACTACCCGCGAGACGGCTACTCCCAAACTACACGGCCGAAGCGCTGCTCGTGGTACTTGGGCCCGCAGCCCCGTTGGAGTGGTTCCGCCACCCTCGCGGACGCAACGCGGCTACTCGCGGACTCGCGGACTACACGGCCGACCCGCAGCTCGTGGTTCTTGGACCCGCAGCCCTGTTGGAGTGGTTCCGCCACTCTCGCGAACTACTCGCAACGCGGCTACTCGGACTACACGGCCGAACTGCAGCGTTTGGTAGAATCCCGCAGACCACCTAACCCGCGTCGCAAGCATCATGGTGCGACAGTCGCACGGCGACGCTTACTCGCTGCTGGGAGTGTCGCACGACGCGTCGCTGGCTCAAGTCAAGGCCGCCTACCGCCGACTCGCGCTGAAGCTGTAAGACAGGCGTGGATACTTGGGAAGGACCCTGTAGTAACCTCGGTAACATCGGTAACGTGGGAAGGGACCCTGTAGTAACCTCGGTAGCCTCGGTGACGTGGGTCAAACTGCAAGCGACGATGGCGTCGGTAGTTGGTGGCCTTGCAAGTTGCAACCTTGCCGAATGTGCGGAACGCTTTCCGCCACCAGTGAGAGAAGCACAGAAGGGTCACCAAAATAGAAGTTGCAACTTCTAAAATAGGTCACTACAATAGAGGTTGCAACTTCTAAAATAGGTCACTACAATAGACATTTCCTGGTACCGCCACTCTCACTGCCTTCCAAATTTCGGATTCTGCGGAGGGGGGGAGGGGAAAGGGGGGAAACCTGTCAGGTCCGCCCACCCACAGCAGAGATGTGCCACATGCCATGCCTCGTGCATCCGCTTTTGAGTCGACTCCAAAGCATTTGATTTTGCGTCGACTAAAAAGCAGACCTGTTAAGCGCGTCCACCCACAGCAGAGATGTGCCACACGCCATGCCTCGTGCACCCGACCTTCCTATCGCATTGGGCGCTTCACACATGTGCCCTTCGTTTCGCATGCCGATGATGCAGTGCTTGCTATACCCACACACACTCCCTCCGACTTCCCTCGATCTCGCTTGCCCCTCCATTGCTCTTTGCCTCTCCCTTGCCCCTTGCCTCTCCCTTGCTCCTTGCGTCTCCCTAAATCTCCCTAAAATCTCCCTTGCTTCTGCCTTGAATCTCCCTTTTCAACTTCCCAGCCACCCAGACGTCCACACCACGGGAGATGCCGACGCCTTTCGGCGAATCACAGAGGCCTACAACTACCTCCTCCACACACCCTCACACCGCCACACTCACTCCCACTACCCTCACTCACACTCCCACGGCAACCACCACCGATCCTTCCGCCAGGGGCCTTTCTCCTCTGCATTCACGTCGTCGAGTCCGGTCGCGACACCTGGCAGCAGACGATTGCCTGCGCTGATTTGCGGCGTTGGGCTGGCTCTGGGCTGCCTCTTGTTCCCAGCAGTGCTTATAATGAGCAAAATGGATAATTTCAACCGGTTTTATCACTATCCTAGCAAGCAGGGGGGAGAGAGGGATGATGAAGAGCAGGAGGACGAAGGAAGCAGAAGTGGTTTTATGTTAAATCACCCACACGGTAACAGCAGAAGCAGCAGCAGCAGTGTTAGCCGAAGTGGAGCGTTGGATGGGCTTGGATTCGGCCGGGGCCCAATAGGAGCCGCAGTCAGCCACGCGCTCACGAGCGAGCGTAGCAGCACAGCTGACAATGACGATGAGGGGAGGCAAAGACAGAGTAATGGTGATGGCAGCAGCAGCAGCAGCAGCAGCAGCAGTGGAGGAAGGGTTAAGCCAAGTTGGTGGAGCAGCATGGGTGGGGGCAGCAGTGGAGGGCCCAGGGGACCAAGCCGAGTCGTGGAGCCGACAGCTGACGAGGAGAAGAGACAGAGGATTGCGAGAATATTGCTGGAGAGTGCACGGAAGGCAAAGGAGGAAGGGGCTCAAGGAGAGGTTCAATGAGATACTTATACCGCGTATGCAGGGGGGAGAGATGTGACCAGGGCTGACGTTTCAAAAAAAGGCACTCTGATTTTGCCCCCCCAAAAATTTCCCGAGTCTGAAGGGCCATTTTTCGAAATTTCGCTACTCTGAAATCTCAGTGTCCAAAAGTCAACGAGTCTGAAATACTCAGGGTTCAGAATGTCGACTCAGAGTCCTGCGCCCAAGTCGAAATCTTATATTTCCAGAGTTCACACCAGGCCACACGACTGGTTTTAGGGTACCATGATTCATCAGTTTTTCGTCAAGAAAATTTACGTGGATTCATCAGTGTTTCCTAGCAAAAGTTTGCCTTTTCATTAGGGCATGTTAAAAAAAAAAAGTGATTTGGCAACTAGTAGAGAGGATTTCAGTTTTTTTTTGGGGGTTGCGGAGCAACCTATTGCAATCGATCGGGCTGGTTTTTTTTCAAGTTTGTGAAATAAAAATCAAATATTTGTTGTGATGGAAATAAAACATTTTATGTATAATAAAGTCTCATCATGAAATGCTCCGCAACCCTAAGACGATCTCGTCGCCTCTTGTTTTAAGTTGCATTCGACTAAGAGTAAATTCCGCATTCTAATACCGTAATCCCCCGTATAAAACACCCGCCGGAATTAAGCTCCCCCGGGTAGCTTGAGCGGGTATGGGTGTTTAATTTTTCTGGATATACACAACACCCTACTTTCGGACGTGAAAACTTTTGAACACCCCCCTGCCACCTAGAATCTCCATTTTTAGCAGGAAACACTAGAATTTTGCGGTGCGTAGATGTGTCCAACCATTCGTTTTTTCCACTCTTGTTGGGGCAACCGTATGCACATCAAAGCAAGTGGGGAAAACGAGCTCGTGGCCATCGCGACGCGGGTATTTAGGTAGGAGACGAATCTGCCCGAACGAAAACAAAGGCACCGAGAACATTGAAATCCGAAAGGTTCATACTGTACTCGACTTTCGCGTGTCGCGCCAAATCAAACGTGTGCCGATTGGTTGTTCTGGCAGCATCCACTCTGACACTGCACGCGCAGTGCCAATGTGGCATGCAGATGGGCAATATCGGCCGGTATGCAATGAGATGACCAAAAGTGGGTATCTGACTCAAATGAAGGTGGAGAAACATGCACACTTGAATTCCAATAAAAAAATGCATATGCACATTCCATAACTCCTGGGTGTTTTATTTTTTTTGCCTTTAATTACACCCAGCCCAAAATTTCGCTGCATTTTTATTAACACCATAGGGTGTTTTATACGGGGGATTACGGTAACAGTCGTTCATATTTGGCGAAATACTTGACAGCTGCCCGTTTGGTCAACTGAAATTCTTTAAAAATGTGACGGTCAAGATCGATTGCGATCATTTCGACGTTTTTTAACCATTCGATGGTTGCAAGTGATAAACGTCCACCATCGATCAACCGGGGCGCTGCAGTGGCGTGAAGTTTCTCCCATCGCCCAATTCCACAGCTTCCCGCCTGCCCTCCGTTTCGATCCTCCACCCTCCCCCTCCATTTTCGAACCCACCCCCCCCCCTCCCCCTCCATTTTCGAACCCACCCCCCCCCCCCCCCCCTCTCCCCCTCCGTTTCGCTTCCCCCCTCCCCATCGTTTCGACGACCCCCCCCCCCCCCCCTCCCCTCCGTTTCGTTCCCCCCTCCCTCCCCCCCCCCTCCCTTCCGTTTCGCTTCACCCCTCCCCTCAGTTTTGATTCCCTCCCCCTTTCCCCCTCGAATTCGATTCCCCCTCCCCTTCTTTTCGAATTCTCCCCCTCAGGGCATGTTCGTACACGATACAACGTCACGACACTTTGTATCAAAATTGTTATTGACGGGCAAATTTGACTGCAAAATCAGCAATGACACGAAGTTGCCTGAATGTGTCGTATTGGAAAACAACACTCCCTCAATTGAGCCATGGACAGTGTGATTTTTTAGAGTTAGTTTCACATCGTCTGAGAATTCAGAAAAAATAAAAATAAAAAAAATCGCCAGCCAGATGAATGAGTTTCTTGTTAGGAACTTCACAAAAGTCGGGTAATAAGCAGGATTGTGGGTTGCGGGGGTTTGTGGGAGGATTTTTTTTTATGGCTGCAAGGGACTTAGCCGGTTTTTTCGGGTTGCAGGAGCTGAGGGAGGGATATTTCTTGCTGTGGAGACTTAGCCGAAATTTCAGGGTCGCAAGAGGTGTGGGAGGGATGTGTCTGTCTGTGGGGACTTGGTCGAATTTGTGGGGCTGCGAGGCGAGTAGGGAAGAAATGTGCTGGGGGGAACTATCTTTGGCTGCTAGGACTTAGCCTGATTTTTTAGGTTGCGGGGCGGGGTGTGTGTGAAAGGACTTGACTCTGGCCCTTGGGGACTTGGACGAAATTTTTGGGTGAGGGCAGGGAGGTGCAGTACTAGTATGTGTGTCTCAGGGTCCGTACGCGCTGCGCTCTGAAAACTCAGTATCCGCAAACTGCGAAGTCAGAGATTCTCAGGATTAAAAAACATATAAGTCTGAAGGGTTCAGCATTCAGAAAATGGCAAGTCTGAAAAATCAGGATCGGCAAAAAAATATGTCTGAAATTTCAGATAATCAGACTAAAATAGTCTGATAAAATCAGCCCCGGATGTGACTATGAGGTGTGTGTGCTATACGAGGGAGGGAGAGGTGTTGAGAGCTTTTAGCCATGTGCTGGTTTTACTGGGCAGAGGCGTGGAGTGGCGATGGACATGCGTTGTGAGAGAGACGGGACTGGACTGGAGTCGAAAGGGGATATGATTGTCAGAACTCAGTCACTAACCGCTGAGTTAAAAAGGCTTGTTAAAACCACAGGCTAAAAAAGCACACATTGGGCGCTCTTGAAAGCATACTTTTTTTGTGGTCAGAATAAAAGACCCAAACTTGAGCACTCAACTCAACACAAAATGTGACGAAAAAAAGTGTGTTGAGACATTTTGAAACATAACGCGAGGGCCACGACGCACCAAGCTGTCAAACATATATATAGGTTATGTTTGTATAGATTGTATAGGTTCGTATCTTAGAGGGTACAACACTTAGGCTTATACCCTTGTACGTTTTTGTCTCGACCTTCAATCCTACGTTAAGATGGTATCACGGTTGGTAGGCAGGTCCCGCCGCCCACGCTTCCACCCTAGGCCCTCGTCGCGCCGCCCCTAGCCCGTCGCGCCCGTCCTAGGCGGCCCCCTGAGCCGTTCGCGCCCGTCCTAGCCGGCCCCCTGAGCCGTTCGCGCCCGTCCTAGCCGGCCCCCTAAGCCGTTCGCGCACGTCCAAGCCGCCCTCCTGAGCCGTTCGCGCCTGTCCTAGCCGGCCCCCTGAGCCGTTCGCGCCCGTCCTAGCGGGCCCGCTGAGCCGTTCGCGCCTGTCCTAGACGGTCTGCTGAGCCGTCGCGCCCGTCCTAGCCGCCCCCCTGAGCCGTTCGCGCCCGTCCTAGCCGCCCCCCCCAGCCGTTCGCGCCCCTCCCAGCCGGCCCCCTGAGCCGTCGCGCCTGTTCCTAGCCGGCCCCCTGCGCCGTTCGCGCCCGTCCTAGCCGGCCCCCTGAGGCGTCGCGCCCGTCCTAGCCGGCCCCCTGAGCCGTTTGCGCCCGTCCTAGCCGGCCTCCTGAGCCGTTCGCGCCCGTCCTAGCCGGCCCCCTGTGTCGTCGCGCCTGTTCCTAGCCGGCCCCCTGCGCCGTTCGCGCCCGTCCTAGCCGGCCCCCTGAGCCGTCGCGCCCGTCCTAGCCGGCCCTCTGAGCCGTTCCCGCCCATCCTAGCCGGCCCCCTGTGCCGTCGCGCCTATTCCTAGCCGGCCCCCTGCGCCGTTCGCGCCCGTCCTAGCCGGCCCCCTGAGCCGTCGCGCCCGTCCTAGCCGGCCCCCTGGCCGTCGCGCTCGTCCCTAGCTGGTCCCTTGGCCGTTCGCGCCCGTCCCTAGCCGGCCCCCTGGCCGTCGCGCCCGACCCTAGCCGGCCCCCTGGCCATCGCGCCCGACCCTAGCCGACCCCCTGGCCATCGCGCCCGTCCCTAGCTGGCCACCTGAGCTGTCGCGCCCGTCCTAGCCGGCCCCCTGAGCCGTCGCGCCTGTTCCTAGCCGGCCCCCTGCGCCGTTCGCGCCCGTCCTAGCCAGCCCCCTGAGCCGTCGTGCCCGTCCTAGTCGGCCCCCTGCGCCGTCGCGCCCGTCCTAGTCGGCCCCCCCCTGAGCCGCCGCGGCCGTCCTAGCCGGCTCCCAGCGCCGTCGCGCCCGTCCTAGCCGTCGTGCTCGTCCCTAGCCGGCCCCTCCCCTGAGGCGTCGCGCCCATCCCTAGCCGGCCCCTCGCGCCCCCGTCGTGATCGCCCCGTACCGGCCCCTTGCGCTCGCCCCGTACCAGCCCCTTGCGCCCGCCCCTTGTTGGCCTCACGCCCTCTCCTAGCCAGCCTCTTCACGCCCGCTCCGCGCCGGCCCCGCGTTCGTTTCGCCGCCGCCCACCTCCGACTCGTACCCGGCTCGTTCTACACCGCACAGCACCGCACTATACCGCGTTGTACCGCTCTGCACCGCACTGCACCGCACAACATCGCACTGCACTGCTCTGCACCGCACAGCACTTCACTGCACTGCACTGCACCGCTCTGCATTGCATAGCACCGCACTGCACCGCACAGCACCGAACTGCACCGCGTAGTACCGCTCTGCACCGCACTGCACTGCACTGCACCGCACTGTACCGCTCTACACCGCACAGCACCGCTCTGCACCGCACAGCACTGCACCGCTGCTGCATAGCTACTGATGGCAGACTCCGTGCTCCGCTTCGACGCAGAGGGACAATCGATCGAGTTTGACAAGTGGCTGGTCGACCTCCGGCGTCACCTCACTGGTCTACGGCAGGACGGCCACTCCCTGGCGGTCCACCTTGACGGTACGCTCCCCTGTCCTGACCCCCCGGCTCCCTTGCCCGCTGACCCCTCATCCGCAGACCGTGAGTCCGCTGCAGCTGCTGCCCTTGCCCGCTCAGTTTGGCTGTCGCGTGACGCTGTCGCGCAGCTTGCAATCAGTCATGCCCTCCCTCTGTCTGAGCGCCCACGCTTTAGGTCAGTCACGACTGCGCAGGAGTTTCTAGAGGCCGTCGTCAAGCGCTATTCCACCCCGCCTGCTGCCTCTGTAGGTCGCCTAATCTTGCCAATGCTCTTCCCTGACCTTGCGCCCTTCCCTACTGTCGCTGACCTAGGCGCTCACCTACGCACGATAGACGCAACCTGGCGTGTTGCTTGCACTGAGACCCAGCTTAGAGCTTTTCAGCCGCCCCTCTGCTCTGCCCTCTACCTACTTGCCACCCGCCTCCTTGATCGTCTTGCTACTGCCCGCGACCCACTTCCTTAGCACCCAACCTGGTAACCTCACTCTCCCTGACTTTGTCGACACTCTGACTGCCATAGAGACCCGTCAGCGCTCTATCGCCCAGACCAGCGGTACTGTGCCGGTCCCTATCTTTCAGGGTTGTGCCCCCGCTCAGTGCACCTTCTCCGACGGTTCTGTCGCTGTGGCTGAGTCCACAGCTGCAGCGCAGATCCGTTCCGGGAAGGGCCGCCGCCCCAAGGCTGGGCGCGGCGGTGGGGGTGGAGGTGCAGGTGGAGGTGGTGGTGGAGTCGGGTCGCCTAGTGGTAGCGCTGACGAGGGGACCCTGACAGGTGCAGCCGAGCAGCCGCCTCAGCAACCGCAGGTGTCGTAGCCGGACACGCACCAACCGCAGCAGCAGCCCTCGCACCAGTCTCAGCAGCCGCCGC